TTACAGTCTCCACTTTCCTGACTTCTTTTTGATCACAAAAACAGGCATATTCCACGGGCTTGTGGAGGGTTCAGTATGTCTCTGCTGTAACTGTTCTTGAACTAGGGTCTGGAGAGCAGTCAGCTTTTCTTTGTTTAGGGGCCACTGAGAGACCCACACAGGCTGGTTGGTGAGCCATTGCAGCTGCAGTGTAGGGTGGACGCCCTTTTGCTCAATGGCTCCAATTAAAAATCAGTCCCAATTCTTACCCCCCCCAGGCCGCTAGTACATCTTGTCCCCATAAGTTCAGAGGAGCCGCAGCAATGTATGGTCAGACTGTAGCTGTTCGTCCTTCCTCATTTCTGATCAGTATGGGTTACGCACTCAAATAGTTCTGTGTCACTCCATCTAATCCTGCGATGGGCAAATCTATTGAAGTTAAAGGCCAGGTTTGTGGCCATGAAGAAAAGGAGACAATGGAAACATCTGCACACCTGTGTCGATGAGACCTTGCAGCTGAATGTGCGATGGTGTACCGCGGAGCAAGGTGAGGACACAGGTCATCTGTGGTCACTGACCAGAAAGGTTCTTGGCCCAAAAAACTTGCGGTGCTCCAGTGGATCCAAAACTCCCGTCTCCATGAATTTGTTGTTCTGTTCTGGGAACACATGACTTAAAAGGCACRAGTTGAGCAATACGAGTCTTTTCMGGGATGGTGRCTGGAGGTGTAGGAGTAGAAACCATAGCACAGATTTGCCCTRTAAAGTCYGCATCTATAACTCCRGRGTGTACAAAGATTCCCTGCAAAGTGGCACTTGATCTTCCCACAAGCAAAGCACTTAGTCCCTGGCCCAAAGGCTCATGTGCATTCAAGGGAACCTTGTGCACCTGCTGAGAATTCAGAGTTACTGTTGCAGCGGTGGAAACATCCACACCGGCTGTGCCTTTTGTGCTCCCTCTAAATTGGCTGAGTAAGCCTGCATCAGCGGCGTACTCTGGGGAAGAACTTGTGTCTGCACGCTCTTCCCCTTCGYGCTCTTCTTCCTATTTCCCGAGTTCTGTATCAGCCACCCATTAGCATGGTATTTTGATCTACAATTTTTTGCATGGTGTCCAGGCTTGCCACATCTGTTGCACAAATCAGCCCTTTTATTCGCTCCCTGCCTTTCTTTCGACTGAGCCTTTGTGCACTCTGATCTCTTATGTCCTGCCTGTCCGCATTCAAAGCATTTTTCGGTGGCCTCAGGACTGCAGCCAAAACCGATATTTTATGATCTATGGTCCCGATCCTCGCACATGCATGCACCATGTCCGACACAGATGGATCACCCAGGAGGCTATCTATCACCTTTCTGYAATCCTCATTTGCATTATCTCTGGCAAGTTGTTTAACCAAGAGCTGCTGCAAATTTTCTTCTTCAACCTATCTTTCTATTACAGCTGCAATTTTCTTGACAAATGGCAGAAATGGCTCCTTTCTTCCCTGCACTATTCTCACGTACTGAGGTTTTGGTGAAGCCATTTCCATGGTTTTTACTAAGGCAACCATGCCTATTTGCTGACACTGCTCAAGCACTATAGGATCCCACCTAGCCTGAAGCTCTGGGAGGATGAACTGACCCCTCCCCATCAGAGCATCAACACCAACAGCACGTCTAGGGTCTCCTTGTGGCTGGTGCATGTTATCATTTGCTGCATTGTCAGCCAAGTGCCCCCAGTTGGTCTCGAAAACCCCATACTGCACTGGCTGGAACAACATTTGGGCAAGATGTTTAATGTCAAAAGGTGCAAGCAGATCAGTACTGACCACCCGAATGACCTGCATAACTTCTGGGGAGCTTAAACCRTACTTAGMAACTCTCARCTRTATGTCCTGAATGACTTTCCATGCAATCACCTCATGGCTATTGGTCTTGCCCGATCCTTGCACAGCCTTATAAACCGGGAATGCCTGAATGTCTTCTGCCCCCCCTCCATTCCCGTCGCTAATAGAAGGCATCCCTATCTTTTCCAGCGTATTCCAATTGCCACTTTCCAAAGCCTCCAGCTTCACCTGTTCCCAAAACCGTCCTGGTTGCCGAGGCTGCACAGTAATGTGACAGGGGGACAGGGTCCCAGGCTTAGATAAAGCTTTGCATGAAAGACCACTGTGATGTTTAACCAACGTCGCATTGCTTGGCGGAGTGCTTGGTGCCCACAATCCACTCTCCTCATCACTCTCCTCAGTAGTCTCCTCGCTACCTGAATCATGAGGGAGGGGTGGACATGAGCTTTGCTGTGGCCTGTCTGGCAGATGATCCACTAGGAGGGACGGCAGCAGAGGCGGTGGGGCTGTGGGCACTGCGGAGCCCCCACCCGCTCCTGTCACGGGCACTACAGAACCCCTCTTCTCCTCTTTCAGCCTTAACTCAGCGAGCTGCTCGTCTGGGGAAGGATATGCCGGCAGCACAACTTCCTCAGGTGCTGGATACGAGGGCTTCACATARCCGTGGGGGGAGAGATACTTTCGTGAGGAGGAGGGGAGTGCAACACTCTTAGAGCAGTCTGTGTCCGGCTGATTTACTACCGCTCCCTCRGACCYCTYCGACCTGCCTGGCTCCTTTTCTCTCTGATCCTATCCCGTTTTTCAATCTTTCAATGTATCAAATAATAACCACCAAGTTGCTGCCAACTTTCGCGCGCCTTTGTTTCCTAGAGACACGCTGTCCCATAACGCATCTCCCACAGCTTTCCATGATGACACACTAAAAGCCACTCCGGCATCAGCAGTAAAACCTCGATCTTTAGCCCATATTAGTACATCTTGTAAATCAGAATCTGCGGTCTTTATACCTATACTTTAAAACATTGTTTTCCAAGTAGACAACACAGTTTTTTCTTCTGTGGTTAGATTATTCCCCTACTGGGTTAGTTCCCCGGTGGCTCACCTCGATTTCAGGTGTCAGTCTTCCTGTCCGGACCTTCAGCAGCTCCCTCTGCCTCTCTGCCACCAGGCTCCGTCTCCKCAGCTCTCTTCCCAGCCGCTCCTCTTGTCTCTAAGWCAAGTTTTTCCTGCTCGGTGGCAGGCGACTCCGCGGCTTTCCCCCGCTGGTTCCTCTTGYCTCGCTCTAGGAAGGCWAGTTGCCCCRCWCGYGGTGAGGCCAGCTCCCCTGCCTCGAAGGCTGGCTGCCCTGCTCGTATCGGGGCCAGGCTGCTCGGTCCCGAGCAGGTAATTTCCACCGTCTGGGCGCCAGATGTCGCAGTAGAGACGGACAATGCGACACAAAGTAACGAGTAATAGACACAGATAGATGACTGTGACTACTTTATTACGGGGCTGAGCCCCTTTTATCTATTTAGCACAAGYGTATACTAAGTCTTCCTCATTTATGGCAAATATCTATTGGCTAGTTGGCAGCCGCTTTTCTACTTGTCAGCCTATGATTGGTGTGTTTGCAAAAGCTGCAATGTCGTTAATATTTATGATTTTTGCTTCTGTCCTGGGCATCTGCTTTACCTCTTTCAACATTCCATTCTCCCTTTCCCAGAGGTAGCCAAGGTTGCGTTATTATGGTAACATCCTCCTCCATGCAGGCTTTTAGACTCCCTTCTGTMTTCCCAGGTCTCAGGCATATACCATTATTGGCTGAATTTCAGATTCAGGACCTGTAAGGCCACAATGCCGGCTTTCTGCCTCCACATGCAGCAAGGACCAGTGGCTGCCTAAGGGATACAACTCATTTTTCCATCATTAGCTTTGGATTGTCATTTGCTTTTTGTTCTTTGAGTATCTCTGCAAAGACACCACTTGTGAGGCTGTCAGGTGTTCAGCAGGAATAGGAGTTGCACCTACAGTAAATTTACCAGTCATTCATGAAATGAAGCAGAGAACCCTTACAATAACTTCACAAGTCTTACTMATTTAACTTGGTGAAAATATCTGCTTTTACATTGAATGAGTGATACCCTTCAGATGATTCAAATGTTTGAAAAAATACAACCTAATTTGATATGCCTCAAAGCATTTAATTCATTAATTCTATTGTACAGTCATTATATAAGATCTTTCTTTTCAGGTCATAATTTTGCTATAGGTAAGACTGATTTATCGGCAGACCACCAGGTTACTACTGTGCTCTGTTTACAGAAAATGTCATAAGTAATACAGACTGAAATGTCCCTCAAATACAAAAGACGATAAATTACGGGAAGTCTTTGTGAAAAGACATTCTACAGTGAGCTAATTAAGGCATTCAGGCATAACGCTAATAACACAATGAAAAAAATTTGAAAGATATGGTATAGTGAGAAAATCTATGCTTTTGATTGAGATTTGAAAAGAGAATGAATTGATGAAGCAGAGAGAAAGAGGCAATCTGTTTCAGATGGCAGGTTACAGATGAGAAGGTGTTTACTGCGAGCACAGTAAGTGTGAAGGAACAGAAAGAAGCCTGGCTCTAAACTGCAAAAGAAACTGAAGAGGGAAGACAAATGTGTTGAACTAGAAAAAAAATCTATGAATCCATGGGCTTGAAAAGTAAGAACAAGAGAAGGCATCTGTCTGGATCATGTACTGCATGGGAAGCTGAMCTGAGCCAGACTTGAAGGCTCAAAGCAGTAGTGAAGGAAAGAATAGAAAATGGGGATGAGCCTGCAAAGGGACTATGTGCTTGTGGGGCAATAATACAYGGGTTTGTGCACTGGAAATTGAATCCTGTCGTGTTGTGCTCTTGCACATCTACAGCAAAAGGMTGCCCAGTCTATCCTTTCAAATATCTTTCTAAACACATAGCCARCTGAGAAGAATATTTTCTTGTTGCTCAGAAACATCCTGTCTGGGCAGACTGACAAGCATAGAACTGACTCACTGTGTCTGAGGTGCAATTGTCTGTCAATAATAACCAAGCTGTAGGTTGCCATGCTGCAGRCAGAGCCCTGCTCTCTCTTTGTGCTCTTCCTCCTCACATTTCATGCTGCACTTGTGGTATGCAGTGGAACATTCCTCCTCCACTGTTGCAGTGAAGTGCCTGAATAATATCTGCATGGGTGCAGTGGTGTATTCGCTATTTCTTAGAATGTCTCTCAAGAAAGGACTAGAGTTAAGACCTGGGATACCTGGAAGAGGAGGGATTGCAAGATTCAGGCTTTTTCACTAAGGGAGTGTAAGTCCCACCCAACAGATCAGCATGGTRGTTGCACACCACATCAAGTCATGCCACGATCACAAAATCATAGAATGAATTGGGTTTGAAGGGACTTTAGAAATTATCTAATTGCACCCCCCTTGCCATGGGCAGGGATACCTTCCACTAGAYCAGGTTGCTCAAAGCCCCATCCAGCCTGACCTTGAACACTTGCAGAGATGGKGCATTTGCAGCTTTTCTGGGCAACRTGTTCCAGTGCCTCAACACTCTCATAGTAAATAATTTCTTCCTCATATCTAATATAAACCTACTCTTTTTCAGTTTGAAGCCATTCCGGCTGTCAGTAGCTGCTCTTGTAAGTACTCTTTCTCCGTCTTTCTCTGGACTACTGTCAGATGCAGRAAGGCTGCAATTCTCTTTTCCAGGCTGAACAAAAAYRATTCCCWCAGTCTTTCCTCATAGGAGAGATGCTCCACCCCTCTAAACAACATGGTGGTCTCCTTCAGATTCACTCCAACAGGTCCATGTYCTTTCTGTGCTGGAGAGCCCAGAGYTGGATGCAGCACTGCARRTGGGGRCTCYCCAGAGCAGAGCAGAAGGGTAGAATYCCCTCCCTCGCTCTGCTGCCCACATTGCTTTTGATGCAGCCCAGATTATAACCAACTTTCTGAGCTGGAAGCACACACTGCTGACTCATGTCCAGCCTGTCATCCAACACGGTATTTTTAGGCAACATATTTACAGGGGTCGATTCCTGTAGGCAGTAAAGGAATTAATGTTTTCTGAAAATATYATATCTTTGTATTTCTGAAGCTTTAGCAAAGAAAGTTATGATCCTTTTCAAGAAGAATTATTTGATCTGTGTTAAAAAAAAAAAAAAAAAAAAAAAAAAAAAAAAAAGGAAAAAAAAGAGAAAGAAGCAAACAGAAAGTTCCTGCTAACATAGCCACATGGACTGGAAAAGATTTCCATAGAAGTGTGTTATTCCTGGATATGAGTACTGTGTCTTTGAATAAAATGTTGAAAAATTGTATGGATTATGCTATTGTGCATATTTCCAGAGAGATGCAGCTGGTTACAAACAAATGAGCTCAAATAATAAGTAGCTAAAATTTTAATGGAATGAGGGAGGTCAAGCAGAACCAGTCAGTCAGTCAATTACAAATAAACAAAAGTAGACATGTATGAAGTCATTTATGCCATGTTCTCAGTGGAAGTCAAAATGTCTTCATTCATAATGGAATGAGGMTCTATATGAGCATAACTCCTAGTCTGATACCAATTTGGCTTCTTTTATCCTAAAGATCTCATTTGCAGCACTTTTTCAACAATTTGTTTTGAACAATTACTTAAATTCAGAATTTTTTTATCACAGGATGTCTCACTGCAACTGTCCTAAACTGMAGTGAACACATAAAAAAGAGAAGGTTCATTGTAACACAGATTAATTAGGATATTTTTCAGTGGTGRTCTTGCTATTTCCAATAAAAGAGGATTGCCATGCAAAAGTCAGAATAACACTGTGCCGTTTGCACCTGTTCTTTCTGAGAACTGCAGATTTCCCCCTCACTAGGGACTCATGGCAGCAAAGGAGGTAGTAAAACAACTTCCATTTATAAAATTTTCACATCTACTAAAACCCAAAAAAGGTATAAATCAAATCTGTTKCATATTTCCTGCCCCAGTCAGTAGTCTCTGTTTGCCTATAAACTAGTAAATGGAGCAGGCATAGTTCTCTCAAGTACTATCACCTTACTTGATAGTAAAAGCACTTCATTGTTCAGGCTCCCATAATAAATATTCATACTTTTATGGCTTCCTGCATCTGCAAAATCTAGTTAGGTATGCAGTCAGCCTTTTTTTTTAAATTTATTTCATTTTCTTAGGAAAAATGGGCTGGAGATTGGCAGATAAGTAGTTGTGGCCTCTATCAGCCTGACTCCTTGTGAAGCTGGAGACCGAAAAATAGATCCAAAAAGCTATCATCCTGCACATTTGGAGTTTGTTAGTAAAATTGRCTGGCAAATGGCTCATTCACCTAACTGAAACAGAGTTTTTCTTCAAGTACAGCTACCATTWAGAGACTTTTTTGTACATCACAGCTCTGATCCATGAGGTCAGAGGAAGCCTTTGCATGGAAATTGTACAAGAGTTTTGTGTGAGGCCATAGTCAATTAGCATTTATATGTATAGACAGCTTCAAAGGCTTGTGATRGAGAATATGGATATGGAAAACAAAGATTATCTGTTTGTGTGGAGGCTGGACATTGTATGCTCCTTAGCAGTGAATGTGCTATGGGATTTCAACACTTAAGGGTTCTATAACAGGCACAAAATTTATCTGCTCGATGGTTGTATGCAGCACTTGAAACAGCAAGCAAATGCTATGTGTTGGTTTTACTTG